GTATTGGCCAGGAGCATGAAAATGTCATGATGTGTGAGGCTGTAAGACTGGAGGGTCCATTGAAACTCCCTGATGTATGTCGTGGGATCAGTGGAAAAGGAACCTAGGCGTTTCTCAAGTTGAGCTAAATCTCCTAAGGAGAAAGGGACGTGAACGTGCACCATGCATTTGGACTCTGATACCTCCCGGAGGGGGGTGATTATTTTGGGAGGCCCTTGGGACTGAGTCTGAGGGGGATTGAAGGGTTCTGGCTCAGTCTGTGGGGGGAAAACAGGTGATGGGGGCAAAGATGCGATAATTTTGGGAGGCCCTCGGGCCCGAGTCTGAGGGGGCAAAGACGGAGGAGGCTCCTGGGACTTAGGGAGCTGAAAGGCTCAGGCTTGATCTGCGGGGGGGTGGCGAGGGGGACGAAGGCAGAGGGGATGAGGTGGCGGAGGAGATGGTGGTGGAGGAAGGAGAGGAGGGGGAAGGGAGTGGACGGGAGGCTTCTGCGGGGGAGGAGGTGGAGGCAGTGATGACGGCAGAAGAGGGCGGAGGGGTTTTAGGAGGGGGAGGGGCTGAAGGGGGAAGCCTGTATGGCGGAGGCTCATCGGCTGAGTCAAAGGTAATCGAAGAGGGACTGGGAGTGTGTGGAGGGGAGGGAGACGGCTTGAAGGCTAGGAGAATTTGGGGTGGGGAACAGGTGGTGCAGAGGGTGGGATTTTGAGCTAAGAGGCGAAAAGCTTCAATATAGGGAATCTCCTTCCATTATTTCAGGTGCTGGCAGTAGTTTAAACGATCGCAAGTGATGTTAGGATCAAGAGTTCCCCCTGCGGGCCATTGGTTGTTATTGTCTAGGGGGTATGTCGGCAAATCTTGGGAGAAGTATTTACGGAAAAGTTTTGGTTTTATATCAGGTGTCAGGGAGAGGGTAGCTAGATACTTGAGCAGGCATTCAAGAGCTGAACTTTCAGGGAGGGATGAGGACGTTCCCATGGCTAAAGGACAGAGGAGGAGACAAACAGGGGAAGACAAAAGGAGATCCTCGGCCTGGGAGCAGACTGCAAGGAGACAAAGGGCATCCCCGATGATTCTTAGTGGTCTACGGAATCTCGTATACGAGTCGGAATTTCTTAGGAAGTGTGGGTCGTCACCCAGACTTCTCTAAGAAGGCAGAGTGCTGGAGTCACGAGGAACCTAGTACTAGGAATTTTTGGCAGAAGGAACGGAAGGAGGAGGGGGGGAAAAAGGGAGCATTCTTATCCGCAAAGGAGTCACCTCATTTATGGCTGTTGGAGGAGGGGCCTGAGGGTCCACTGCAGCTGTGAAGGCCTGAGGCGGGGAGAGTTCCCTCCTCGTCCCTGAGCATAACGGCTTTGCCAGACGATCACGGTCAATGGTGCTATGATAGCTCGGGGAAGAGTGGCCCACTCCGGGGGAAAACTTACTGAAAGGCCATAGAGGAGTGCTGAGTGTGAGGAGCCAGCACCGGAAAAAGAGGACGAGGGCAAGCTGCTGCTGGTGTCAGGTGGGGGAAGATGGGGCCCCGTTGGGGTGTCCTGTCTCCTGGGTTTCCGCACCAATGAAAGGAAGGAGCGACACGCAGCAGCAATTCACCGGAGAATTCCGCTTTATTAGGGAAAGGTGCTGGGTTATGTAGGAAGGGGCATGGTGTGATTGTGGTGTTACTTCTACGGGGCTGGTGGCTATTGGCTAGGTGCTGGGATTGGGAGGGGGGAGAGATGTGTTTGGCCTTCAGGTGGCACTGGCGGGAAGCGAGGACCCGGAAGAGAAGCAGGAAGTTCACCATCTTATGGGTGGGGGCCCTTCATTGCAGTTTAGCTTTTAGTTGTAAATTCTCTTTTTCTAATTTATACAGTTTATCAGAATGAGCTCGAGTGCCTTCTAATTGGTCTTCCAACATGGTTTTTGTTTCTAATAAAACTTGTCTTCTTTTAATTCCTCAACTCTTGCCTTGTAAAATTCAATATCATGTAACCTTTCTTTATATCTGCTGACTTCACTTTCCAGCTTATCAACTCTGATTGCCTTCTCCTGAAGTGCACCTAATTCATCTCGGTACATTCTTGCAGAACGAGCATTCAAAAGCAAGTTCATGTTCTCTTGTTGCAGGCTTTTTAATTCTATTTACATTTGCTCAAGTTCTTCTTTGCAGTCCAATAACTCTTCAGTATTTTCATCCAATTCCTCTCTATGCCTTCTTATCTTGGCTTTAGCATTTGCCAGTTCCACTGGCAGATGTTGTCGACTTTCTGTTTGCTTCATGCCTGGAGAACCACAGGGTGACTGTACAGATAAGGAGGCATGGGGTAGAAAGTGAAGACCATCTTGCTCTTCAGAGAGTGCTATGATAGTCTCTGAATGTTCGTCTCTTTCATCTATAAGTCTTTTTAGATGGAATGCCATATTATTCAAGAGTGGTTCCTTTTCCTCCTGAGACATATCAGTCTCTTCCATCCACTGCAGATCAAACACATTCTCCTGATTATTGATTACCTCTTGAATATGTGCAGCAACTGCTGCTTTTGTGTCAAAATTTAAGCCTTGCATTATTCCAATAAATTCTTTTTTTTGACACTGAACTGCACAACCCAGTAAAAGTAAAAGCAACTTTTTAACTTCTTCTGTGCCTTGTTCAGAAAAGGGATTTTTGCCAATGACTAAGACATTTGGCAATGACATCACGATCAACTGTTGCAACATCTCCTGGTAATAAAATTTTATCTGTTTCACCAAAATGGATAGATTGTGAATTCTAAGTGAGGCATCATTGTTGACTTTTTTATTTATTCTCTGACTCTCCAATTTAGGATTAATTTGGAACATGACCTGGTTCAAGAATACCCCATCCACCAAAGCCACATATTCATCCAGGTCGGTACCATTTCCTTCAGCCAGAGGTCCAAACATTTTAACCTGCAGTGGCGGTGGCAGCCTCTCCATTGCTCCTCTGCAAGAGTTTTTCTTCAAAAAAAAGCTGATGAGATTTTTTTCTCTTTCTCAGAGGAGGAGGTAGATTTTGGGGGTGCTCTCCAAGATGGGATGGCTGCATCTCATGGCAGACATAAGAGCTCATACCCCAGAATGCTGCCATCAAAGGATAATGAATGTGGTAAACAGGCCAAGCAACTTCCTTCAATTGCTCTTCTCTCAATGGCTTTTCTCACCATCTTCAATTTGTAGAAATGTTATCTGTCACTCCTCTAAAGCTGAATGCACAGGATTCCTTCACAGTTTCTGAAAGGTGGTTAAAGCCCACATTTTAAACCAGAGAGAAAAGCAAAGCACGTCCGTTGCCCCTTCTGGATCCTAATGATAACAGTAAACAATGATCATGATGGATATAAGAACTCACACTGACTGAGGGCTTACTATATATGAGGTGCTGTCTTGATGCTTCACAACAACCCTATGAGGAGATACTATTATCACCCTTTGTAGAAAAAAGAACTGCATCTAAAAGATCTCAGTAACTTGGATGAGGTCCTGAAACTATTAATGAAAGGATGGAACCCAGATGATCTGGCTCCAGAGGTATCTCTCCTAAGGTGGTTGAATGTATTATATGTATGTCACAATGTCATCACAGTATCAGCATGGCTCCTGAACCCTGCCACATGCCCAATCCACACAGTCCCAGTCCTGCTAAAGTCAGTTAGTGGCACTTCCATTCACTGAGCTTCCCAGGCTTAAAAGCTGAGTTATCTGTAACTCATTTCTCTCTTTTCTCTCACCTACTTGTAATGCATCAGCAAGGACTTTGGACTCTGTCTCCAAAATATAACAAAGCTCTGTACATCTATCTCCATTCCTTCCATGGAAACCTAAGTCCTATCATCTCCCACAATCCTCCTCTTTTTTTTAATTTTTATTTTGTATCATTAATATACAACCATATGAGCAACATTGTGGTTATCAGATTCCCCCATTACCAAGTTCCCCCCCCGACATACCCCATTTCAGTCACTGTCCATCAGCATAGTAAGATGCTATAGAGTCACTACTTGTCTTATCTGTGTCACACTACCTTCCCCCACCCCCACATTATACATACTGATAGTAAATGCCCCCTTTTTCCCCTTATCCCTCCCTTCCCACCCGTCCTTCCCAGTCCCTTTCCCTTTGGTAACTGTCAGTCCATTCTTGAGTTCTGTGAGTCTGCTGCTGTTCTGTTCCTTCAGTTTTTTCTTTGTACTTATGCTCCACATATGAGTGAAATCACTTGGCACTTGTGTTTCTCTGCCTGGCTTATTTCACTGAGCATAATACCCACTAGCTCCATCCATGTTGTTGCAAATGGTAGGATTTGTTTTCTTATGGCTGAATAATATTCCATTGTGTAGATGTACCACATCTTCTTTAGCCATTCATCTACTGATGGACACTTAGGTTGCTTCCATTTCTTGGCTATTGTAAGTAGTGCTGAGATAAACATAGGGGTGCATCTGTCTTTTTCAAACTGGGCTGCTGCATTCTTAGGGTAAATTCCTAGGAGTGGGATTTGTGGGTCAAATGGTATTTCTATTTTGAGTTTTTGAGGAACCTCCATACTGCTTTCCACAATGGTTGCACGAATTTACATTCCCACCAGCATTGTAGGAGGGTTCCCCTTTCTCTGCATTCTCGCCAGCATTTGTTGTTCCTAGTCTTTTCTATGGTGGCCGCCCTTACTGGTGCGAGGTGGTATCTCATTATGGTTTCAATTTGCATTTCTCTGATGACTAGCGATGTGGAGCATCTTTTCATGTGCCTGTTGGCCATTGGAATGTCTTCTTTGGAGAGTGTCTGTCTGCATCACTCCTCTTGCTCCATCTCCTCTCTCCTTGGTCCTCTACTCCATCCCTGCAGCGGCCAGCTTGAGCTTTGATTTCATCATCCTCTTGCTTTTTGCTGCACTTGGAGCGACACCCAAGCTCAGCAGCACGCCTCTCGGGGTTCTGTGTGATCTGGCCCCTGCCTGACCCTTGTACCTGAGTTTCTACTCCTCCTTCCATCTAGCACCTTATTCTAGCCACACTTTGTTCCCTGGGACTCCCCAAGCTATTTACAACCTCAGATTTCTATAGCTGCTGAGCCTCTACCTGCACTGCTTTCCTTCTCTGCTGGGTTGTCACTTCGTCATCATTGGGAGGTCTCTGTTCAAAAGACAGGTCATGAGAGATAAACCTTCCCTGAAGGCTCTGAACTCACTACCCCCACCAGTCACTGGCACACAATTCTGTTTTACCATCTCCATAATACTTGTCACTATTACTTGTACATTGTATATTCCCCTAATGTTTCCCCAGCACCTGGGACAATGCTTGGCACATAGGAGATGCTTACTAAATCTGTTACTTAGTGGATAAATTCATTGAGCCTGAATCTGGCCAATAAATTCTGAAGATTGATTTTCTTTTTAGAGACAGAATCTGTGGATGCCATATCAGGAGGAATCATAGGTGAGCCATGAGGGCTGGGGAAGCTGCCTCAGAACTCAGCTCACAACACAAGCCTTCTTGACCCACCTGCTAACACGGTCACTTCTTTGAGTTTGGCCAAGCCCCCATCTCCTATAGGCCTCTCTTTTGTTACATCAAAACCACTAGTAAATGACTGGGCATCTCTTTCCCATGTGGCCAGAGTGCCACCCAGAAGCTCACCTTCTGCAACACAGGGGCTGATCTTCTCTCATTTGAGGGTCTGAGCACAGCCCTGTGCACACACTGGGGGCTTTAGCAATGCTGTCCAGTAGCTGAGGGACCAAAGGGGACCTGGCCCTTCAAAGGACACCTGCATCATCACAGGAGCAGAGGCACACCCACAGCATACTCACCCTCAGTGTCTCAGTCCTAAGGATGGAGACAAATCCCATGAGATAAAACCGATCCTCCAAGGGCAGATATGTGGTGCATGACTGAGCCTCCTTGTAGGTGGGGAAGAAGCTGCTGAACAGCACCAGAGGCTCTAGGGTACACAGAGGTACACGAGTGGCAGTCAAACAGGAGGGCAGGCCACCCTGTTTTTCTTGTAGTTTTGTTTGGTCCAAATTCCTCTGCCTCTTCATTTTTTTGTGTGTTTCATATGGAATAATATCTTTGTGTAGGAGGGGCCCTCGAGTGCGAAGAAGCTCAGTTTCCTGTGTGGGAGCCCCAGCTGTTGGTGTGCAGTGGGTGTGGCACCTTTCTGTCTTACTTGTAGTGGTCTGGTTTCAGGTGAGCTGTGTGGGTCTTCAGCTGATCGCATAAGCAGGGAGACTACTCGGGGTGTGCCACTGGAGCTGCCATGGGCAGAGCTGCCCTCCCTCCAGGACTGGTGCCTGTTCTCCACAAGTGGCTGGCATCTCAGCCTTTCCAAGTGCTCCACCCATCTTTGCTCTCCAGCCCCACTAATCTGTGGTCACTGGTTGAGATAGTGTCTGTCCAGTTTACCCACTGGGAATTTACCTTTCTCTATGTCAATTCTGTGTGTCTTCTTTAGGGGGAAGACACTGTGTGGGGCCCACACTTAAGGAGAGGAAGTTAGCTCCACCTTTGTGATGGATGGCTGAGTGTCAATGTCAATTATTTAGGATTATTCTACAGTTGGAGATCTCTGTTCAACCTCAGGGATGAAGATCTGTGTAATCACTTTTTTTTTTACCACTGTGGTTGCCCACATAGTTATTCTAGGATTTGGGTGCCAGTCCAGCACTACAGTGTTTGGTGGCTCAGCTCATGACTGCTTTGGCCATGGAGAGCTCTTCCCATTGGCTCCTGTTTCCTTTTGACATCTTCAGTCTTTGTAAGTCCTTTTTTTTTTTTTGCTACTTCCCTGATTTGTGATACTCCGTGACTGTGCTGGCTTCTATGTGTACTGTCTCAGTCCTAGTGTTAGCCATTTATTCAAAAAGCCCTGGCTTCCTTTATTAGGGAATGGTATTAAAATGTATGTGCTGGAGCTAAATGTGCTCAGTGGACTGAGTGGACAGTGCAAGGAAATATATGCACTTGTTCCACCCTATGTATACACACCTAATTACAAAGATTTCTACGTGGAGTTTTCTGTATCCATATTAAGCTAAAGATGAGTTTAAACTGATGACTCAACCAGATCCATTGTCACATGTCTATTATTACCTTCTCCCTCACATATCTGTAAGCTCCCCTTGCAGTATGGAGAAACCTGGCTCCCACCATCTGTCATTTATTTAATTCATTGGTTGCTCCATTCCAGATTACAGATAAATTGGTCTCAGGATGGTCAGCTACTACCCACCTGGGTGACAAATAAAACTCTAGAGCCTGAGAGATGTAGGAAATAAAAGAGTTTGCTGAGCTGTAACAGATGCTAGCCAGAAACAGAATTGAGTCATGGGACAAGAAGTTTCTGCTTTACCAGCAGTAAGACCAGTCAACAGAAACCACTTGTCTGCTGTACTGAGGAAGTAGGTGAGATTTATAAGGGGTCTCAAGTAAAGAAAGTTCTGTAAACTTACGTTGGTTGTAGATAAGGAAAACGAGGTAAAGTGAAGTGGTGCAAGTCCAAGGGACAGGTGGATAGGTGATAAAGAAGGCTTGGAATTGGCTTTTGATGATGGTCAGGCACTTTTCACATGTAAGAGAGATGTGGTGGTTCTGAGGACCTTCTAGATAATTGTTGAAATGACTTTATCCAAGCATGTGCAGTCTCTGATTAGCCTTGTCTCATGGCCATAGACTGATTACCTTCACTTTCCTCTCTTTCCCATTTTCTGGCCCTATGTCACTTAAATTTTGATTTTTTCCTTATCATGGGAGAGATCCTTATAAAATAGGGTCCATTGTTTCTGTACAGTACAGTTTGTCTTTAGTTTAAAGATTCTATTCACTTCCAGAGTTACCTAGTTCAGCACCTTTTGTTCCACCACTAGCAGCTTTTTCATACATTTTTAATAAAGTTAGATTCTTTGTCATATTTTGTATTTCACTCTGTATTCATTCTAAGTAACAAAATTGTAATAGATTTTGATTGCCTTGGTGCACTACGTAAAAATCTATGGGCTTAAACAAATGCACATGCATGAATATTCTATACAACACTCCAAACCCCTATGCTGTGATCCACTTACCATGTCTGTAGTTCTGCCTTGTCAATAATGTCATACAAGTGGGGTTCTTTAGTGTGAAGCCTTTTCACACGGGGTTCTTTCACTAAGCATTATACATGTGTTAAAATTAAAGTCACAGGTCCAAAATGAAGTCATTTATGTTGAAGACCCATGTCATCAAACCAAGATTTAATACCTAGCC